TAAGGGTGAGGAAATGATTGCTGATAATTTAACTAAAGGCACTACAGTCGAGAAACATTTGTTTTGTATTACAAAGATGGGGTTGCGTCCCAAGGGAGGGTGTCAGTGTAAAATGGAACGCAACCAAAGTAGTTTTTTTTTTTATGCGCGTGTGGCGCCTTTGTCACTTGTCACTCGCTGCCAAAGTACTTTCGTTCTCTCTCCGATTTTATTACAATATAGTCTATTTTATCTTAAATACGCTTAATTATTTACCACAACCACGTAGAATATTCCTTTAACAACACATAACATACACATAAAATGCCAAAATACATATAACATGAATAAAACAAAACGTAAAATTAACAACAACAAAAACAGCTACAGACAGTAAATGTGTATTTTATGTGATGCCAACACTGGATATGACTCAGCATTCACAGCAGGAAAAAAATCCTACTGCACTGGTATTCTGCCATACCTAGAGCAGTGACATCACAGAAAACAAGAAAAAGGAAAAATACAGATTAAGTACATACTAAATAACAAAACAAAAAGAAAAGAAATTAGTCTAGGACAGAACACATAGCAGTATCTGCGGCAGAAATTATATATTGTAACAGAGGTAATCTGTACGAGGTATTACGTACTAGCCCGTAACATTATAATATTTTTTTATTAATTATTACGTGTTTATTATTTTCATACAACTTTAGTGAAATAATCAAATATATAATAGTATAAAAATTGACTTTATGTCTATTTTAAAAGGAAAATGTTCCGTTTTACAAAAATACATGAACAATAAATGTACACAAAAAATATTTGTGTAAGTATATCGAAATAGTCAATTTCATCATTCAAACTCCTTAAAACTATGATATAATTGGCCCTAATATTTATTATAACAAATTACTGCAGGCCTAAAATAAAAGATTTATTTATTCTGATCAAGCTTAAGACAAGGCTGTATGATAATTAATTCCCTGATTTCTGCAAATGAACAAAATAAATCTCTACAGATTTCCTGTCACGCCGATGGCAACAAATTATTTGTATTTATTTTTGCTATGAAAACTTTTTGTGAAGTGTTAATCAGGGAAATGGGAGGAAAGATTCTTAGAATATGCGATTTTGATGGCTCTGTAAATAATTGGCAACATCTTTTATGAAATGTAGCAAGGTAATAACATAGTAGGATTTCTCATAATTTTCAAGATTGTGACTTTATCAAAAGTTCCTGAGCCTTTTTTCATAGAAATTATAAACATTGAGCCATTCAGCAATATATATTACTATATAAGTACAATATTTATACATTCTTAGGGCAGTTGCTCATACAAAATTTTACTATGCCCTTTATCGTCGCATGGCACATAACTTGAATATAAAACGTACCATATGTTACTCCGTGATCATGGCGCTTGCAGCAGTGTCGAAATATCGGAGACTCACAAAAAAAACAAGGTACATGGTAGCAATTGACGACCTCCACGGCCGAGTGGTTTGGTACGCCGGGTTTCATGGTGTCGCCGACTCAAGATGTCCTAATCTACAACCCATTTTAATTTATATTTATGTATTTTATAAATGATCACACCTTTGTATTGGATCCTGATTTATTGCGGCACCGACTTTTGATTATATTTAGATACTAATCAATGTTCCCAGAAAAGCTATTAGGTTGAAAAAAGCTTTTTGGTCGCCTTTTGACATAAACGTACATACATTTTGATAAGTACGTAAAATTTAGATACGATAAATATAACAAATATTTAGTTGAAGGACTGTAACTAGAAATGTAGACATTTTTTTTTATTAAAAATATTTGTATTGGTCTTATTAGACCACAGACATGTGACTTCAGAAAATGTTTGTTATAAATAACACTGAGAATCTTTATGTTATCTTATTTGAAATAGTATGAAATAGTATAATGCCATTCAAATTAGTATTAAAATTAAATGAAACGAAACAATAAATTGTAAATAAAACTAGTTTTTACGGGTTAATGCACGAACACTTTATTTATTTATTGACGTTTCGCAGCCTTTTCAGGTCTGCATCGTCAGAATAATGATTTTACTTAAAATTGTCGAGCTACCTTCGAAAGAATTATATTGAGCGTTCGGTTATTTCATTGGAAATTTTTTTTAAAATTTTATTGTCTATGTATGAATTTATTATTTAATTTACTTAATAAAGTATTTTATTTAAAATTCTTGTTTGTAATTTTGAGTTTATTTATTTGACCCTAACTACCGTAAACTACCACCGGTTCCAAAATTGGGAGACCTTCCTGAGAAGAACCGGCGAAACAAACTCAAGAGAGGCTTTCTATCTCCTTCTTATGTTAAATTATGCAAACAAAAAGAACTAATAGTATCTGATGGTCTTGCAGTGTGTGCTCGGGTTGGGATTTTATCTCCTGTATAATAGGTTCCCAAGCTGGTGGTATATACCAACCATCTTCCCTATTGAAATTTGGATATTTTTTAATCTCAATAGCCTCGCGCATCATTCGAGGAACGAACCGCCGCTCAGCTGCAAGGATCTGTGGTCTATCAAATCTAATGTAGTGGTTTGGTCCCCCTAATGCATGTTCACACACTGCAGATTTATTTTCGCGCCTATGTTTCATGCATTATGGGGACCAAACCACTACATTAGATTTGATAGACCACAGATCCTTGCAGCTGAGCGGCGGTTCGTTCCTCGAATGATGCGCGAGGCTATTGAGATAAAAAAAATATCCAAATTTCAATAGGGAAGATGGTTAGTATATACCACCAGCTTGGGAACCTATTATACAGGAGATAAAATCCCAACCCCGAGCACACACTGCAAGACCATCAGATACTATTAGTTCTTTTTGTTTGCATAATAACATAAGAAGGAGATAGAAAGCCTCTCTTGAGTTTGTTTCGCCGGTTCTTCTCAGGAAGGTCTCCCAATTTTGGAACCGGTGGTAGTTTACGGTAGTTAGGGTCAAATAAATAAACTCAAAATTACAAACAAGAATTTTAAATAAAATACTTTATTAAGTAAATTAAATAATAAATTCATACATAGACAATAAAATTTTAAAAATCTTCCAATGAAATAACCGAACGCTCAATATAATTCTTTCGAAGGTAGCTCGACAATTTTAAATAAAATCATTATTCTGACGATGCAGACCTGAAAAGGCTGCGAAACGTCAATAAATAAATAAAGTTTTCGTGCATTAACCCGTAAAAACTAGTTTTATTTAATGAGTGATGTGCGTGAAAACCTAAGAAACAAATATAATAAATTGTAAAGTAAATTAATTAACTTTGCGCGGATGTAATTTCATAGATGTTTAAAAAATTCACACTAATAAGTTACTTGTGCATATATCGAGGAAATAGTGGCATATCTTTCTCTCTCCATTATAATTTTCCAACAACATTCTCCTTCACCTACTTTGAAATGAAAGCCATCAATCTTCTTGACGGTGGCAACATTCTGGCGATTTGTCAATATCAAAGATGTATTGACGATATAACTTTAAGAGAATTGTGGGCGAGCTAAATATTTATTGATTCACATATGAAATGATTTTATTTGTCGTTTAATTATATCCAATGAGTATACCTGTGAAAAACAATGAATAAACTTTAATGATACCTAAACTTAAAGTATAAAGTGTGTATACATCTGAAAAGGTAGGATTAAGTGGTACATTACTTTAGATTAAGACCTGTATTTTCAACCGAGGAAAAAAACAGAGGATTTTATTTAATGTATGATCACGCATAACTTTTTACGTGGTGAGGGTGATCATTTTTTCATCGTCTACCCCATCGTGTGGATAACGTTGAAACGGTCTTTTAAATCACTTAGGGTTTGTTAAGACTATATTTCTCATAAATAAACTTACCAATCAATAATTATATAATTTTGTATTATAATAATTATAAAAAAACGGAATTACAATAAATTCTACTTTTTGTTAAACGATTTACAATTACGTGCATTGCATCTCATAAAAATTTGGAGTCTGCCAGAGACTCACTACCACCCTCCATACTTTGAACCGTGTCCTATGGAAACAAAATTCCTACCCTAAGGGTGGGGAAGTAGGGGTGATTATTCACTCATAGATTTTGATGCCGAGTTGTGTATTGCAAACACTAAAGCCACAAAAATAATAAAATGAAATCTTTTTAGCAAAAAAATTAAACCGCCGAAAAGACTGAAAAGCAGAAAATAATTTACAAAAGGAAAATTATTACCTTTAGTCAAATTAATATTTGGAGTCGGTGCCATGCCAACCCAAGTAGTAAATGGAAATTCAGATCAATCAGACATGCGTTAACTGTTAAATTGTTTTGCTAAAATAATTTTTTACTTTATTTTTGTTTTATACAATATAGATTATTATTAATACCACTTCATCTAATTTTAGATGGTCATTCACAAAGATAAGTAACTGATGCGGCAAAAGTGTACCGGTAAATCGTCTTCTCCATAAACTGCTATTGACTCTTTTTACATTCAGAGACCTGCACAAGTTAAATTAATCAACAGCTACTAATTTAAAGTAAAGGTAAAAATAATAAGATAACGCTGTGTCAGGTGCTAGTAATTATTAACAGTTACGGAATGTATATTTATAAATTATTATTAACGCCGAAGCATTAAATTTGTTGGTTCCTGAAAAACCGACTTGATCAGTACGTAATAAGAGATTAACTATACACGTGCGGGTTATATTTATTTGCGAAAACATTTCGCTTCCAGATGGGCTATTATTCCTTTACTGGAAACGACAAATAATACCGTTGTCATGAATAATATTATTGTCTGATATTTATAGTCTACTCGGAATCAGATTATTTAAGTCCATATTTCAATATAAGTCATGAAATAACTAGTATTTCATTTCCTTATATACCTTAATACGATAAAAGACGATATAAATAAAGTATAAGCTGGTCGGGGCGCAAAAGAAAATTAGAATCTGTAAGTTTTTGTCTGTCTGTGCATTATTTTTACGCGCTGAAAGAGAACGCACGATACTTATTCAAAGTACAAGCCCCCATAAGACTTGTATCTAGTGAAAATACTGTACCTGGTATCACTGTGGGTCTGGTGTGTATGCAGAATATCTTCCTCAGAGTCCTAGTAAATGTACTAGGCTCTAGAGTATACGAGCCGTACACCAGGGGGTCCATGCAAGAATTGGAGACGGCCATTATGAAGAACAAGTCCTGCACTTTGGCCGATACGTGCTCCGCTGACTGTCGATCCAACATGTACCTGAGAATTAAAGAAAAGGTATGAATTAGTGAAGAAGAAATTATGTGGGTTCTAATTTAGTGGAAATGGTCAGTATTCAAAATTAAAATTAACCTGTTTCTTGTTTATTGCTATATTGAATTTGAATTGAAATAATAATATGTGATGGCAAAATATGATACATTCATTCTTGAATTTTGGGAAGAATATTTTTTTTTCTACAGACATCCCAGCATATCAAATGCCCCGGCTTTAGATTACAACTTTACTTGATATTGTAGAACCTCAATAACATAATGCAGCATCTGCACTTGGAAAAGTTTCTTGTCGTAACCACCAGTCATAGGATGGGTGGTCAAAAATTTATTGCTGTGTGATAGCTGTTACCTACTGCAGTATTGTTCAGTGTCATTATCAGTACCATTAGCACGAACCAATATCGAATTCATATCGTTTGCGAGTACGAAATGTCATTGTATAATATGTACTGATTTTTAGCTCTCGTTATGGTACGTTATGGTGCTGCTGTTCAAGTTTTCATTCAAAATTTGACAATTACACTTCAGACTTGAAAATGAAAATATATTTATTGGAACTAATTAAGGTTTCATGTATAATAAGGTTCGTTAATAGCTATATTAGTTTCTAGAAATGTGTTACAGCTATTAGCGGCCACCTCCAGATACAGAGACGTGTGTTCCATAATACATAACTTGCAAACTATTTGAATTCGATATTGGTTCGTGCTAAGGGTACATTTCTTTTAATTAGATAGTCAGTCCATAGTTAAGGCCTGTACCTCGGCACTAGGGACACTAATAAAGTGCTGATGATGATGATTTTAAATTAAGTGTGAGTGAAGTTGGACGCGGGGCGCTTGCTAACGAGACGGTTCTTATCCGGGCCGGTGCCGGCTAAGCTAGTTCACGAGAACGGTTTGTACCTTCGTGACGTTTGTGACTTCATGAGTTATACCATATTGAAATCATTTTTCAATTTGACGACCCTGTATATAATACAGGGAGAAAAAAGCAGCCCTTGCTGAGTTTCTTGCCGGTTCTTCGCAGTACACCATCTCCCTTTTTGACATTCACAAGTGCTCGTAATAGACTAGACTGAATAAACGATATTGAATTTAAATTTACCGAACCAAGCCATCGTTAGCGCCGGTGTCGTTAACAAACCTATATAGTGTCCTATACGTAACTGACGACCGGGCCGGTTTAAAACCGTGCCTAGACCAAGGTAGAAATCGTTCGATATCATGCGCTCTTACAGTTGCAAAAATTCAGTGGAAAATTGCTGTACCAGTGATAAAGCTTTCCAATCTAAACCTGTGGCGGCGATATTTACATGCCCCACATATAATCAACATGGAGGAAATAGTCACTCGCCTCCTCAAGAGATGGCGCTACCGGCGCTGCACTTACAACGTATGGAAGCCTAAATCGCGCAAGTAAAATTCGGAGGCTAACACTTCATATATACAATGCCCAACAAACATCAGTCGGGCCACCGCCCCCGAGCTAACATCACCCGGCTCGGAGGAAGATCTTCCCTCTTTGGCCAGGTCACCAGTGTAGGAAACCCTGGTGACCTTTCAACAAACCTATAACACGTTAGTAAGGTTTCCCTATTTGCTTGACTGATTTCAATGAAATGTCAGTCTGTGATTCAAAGTCTATTGGGTGGGTTTACCTGAACTATAGGTTTAGTTTGTTAAATTGTTAAGCGAACCCGACACCTTCATTATTCCAGATTGACAATTCTCGGAAAATCCCTCAAAATTAATTTACGCACCTTATAACGGTCTTCCTCGTACAGCATCAAGTATATGTTTTATGACGTGCGCAGCCGGTTCGTTGCGGTTGTAAGCAAAAGTTTGTGGGTTGTCACGTAATAGGTAGGGAGAAACGTCTTTTCGCATTATGATGAATTTCGCATAAGTATGAACTTATTATAAAATCTCTTCGTATCATTAAAAAGTTTAAACTTTAAAGAAGAGACTTTTTCTTAAGGACATGACTGCTCGCCTGTGCGAGGCTACGGGGGACCCAAGATCTGGTAGCTTTTTTGCTCAAAGAATTAGTTTGGCGATGCAGCGAGGCAACGCTGCCAGTCTTCTGGGGACCGTGCCCCGCACAGGCGAACTCAATGAAATATTTAATTTGTAATTGTTGTTTTACCTTTTGTTGACATTATAAAGAAGATTATACTTAATTCAATTTAAGAAAAATCTGCTATTGATATTTGTTATTCTTACTGTCAAGATGAGTGAATCTAATGAAGAAATTCGATACATTTTAAAATCGTACTACAAAAAAGGTAAAAATTCAACGCAAGCGGTAAAAAAAAATGTGTTATATATGGACCTAGTTCAGTGTCTGTGAGAGTAGCACAAATTTGGTCTAAGCGTTTCAATCCGGAAATTTTGATGTCAAAGATGCACGTAGCCCTGTTACGGATAAAATAGAAAACGTGAAATATATGACGACCTCAGTAGCCGAGTGTTTTATACACCGGGTTTCATGGTGTCGCCGACTCAAGAGGTCCCGGGTTCGAATCCCGGTGGGGGCCGATGTCTGTGTGATGAATACGAGCATTTGTAATCCAGTCATGGATGTTAATATGTATTTCTATATAAATATACTTATATATGTACAGTATATATATTCTCTCTGTTACCCTAGTATCCCATAACACAAGCCTTACAGTGCTTACTTTGGGGCTAGGCTAATTGGTGTGTGTTAGAAATATTTCTTTATTTATTATTATTTATATGAATAGTAAAATAGAAATAGTAGAAGAATACGGTAAAATACATACGGTATACGGTAAAATCAGTTTGATTTTAGCCGGATGGCCGAGCTGATTTTTTTCCAGCCAGTATACAATTTCTTTAAAAAAAAAATTATCAATCTTAGTACGGTGTAATTTTCACAGAATTGTGACAGTAAACTGCAATATGTAAAAAACTGTCATTTTAAAATAACTTTATGGTAAGTTTCTAGCATTAATAATGGTGAATGAGGTTTCCACTACACTTATAAGTATTAGGCTAGAAGGGGGTAGACAAAACGCGGGTAATACTTTGGTACCTATCGTAAGTTATGGTGGCCACTTACCACAGCCACTGACTTTAATTATTATTTATATATTTTTAAGCTTTATTTTCACATGAAAACTGGGAGTGAAAATATAACGTGCTTTATACCAATACACAAAAAAAAAACTACAGTGATTCGATTCTCAATTTAGACTCTAATTAGTTTAACCACAAAACAAGAAGTAGACAGAAGGACAGCTCCCGCCATCCTGTAAAATTTTTACCCAAACATAATATAGCCGTTCTTAGATAAATAATTAGTTTCCCTTCGGCCGACCACAAGGTGACCAATCATTTATCTAAGCAGCTGTTGCTTTTGGAAACATTGAGGTCGCGAAAAAATTCTACTTGAAACTGCGTGAAAATGCCTGTACACGTAACATCAATGTGTGCGAATTATTGGGACTCTGTTTTCGCGCGGCAGTTGCGTACGTACTTCATGGTTCGACTCAGATTTCCAATAGAATATAAATTTTTAGGTTAAATTATTCGTTATTACAAGAGCTAATACCTACCTAGGAGAATATAAATTACTCATTTACTTTATTTTTTATTTGAATTTGTTTTACCGAGTTCCATCAAATATATTTACGTCGGCTTTGAATTTTTTTTTAAACACATCTATTAGCCTAGCCCCAAAGTAAGCACTGTAAGGCTTGTATTATGGGATACTAGGGTAACGGATAGAATACATATATACAGTACATATATAAGTATTTTTTTTATAGATATACATATTAAACATGGAGTACATATGTTCGTATTCATCACACAAACATCTGCCCCCACCGGGATTCGAAACCCGGCGTACAAACCACTCGGCCAAGGAGATCGTCAATTTAATGTTATGAGCCACAAGGACCACCTTTGAACTTAAATGCTTATAAGCAAATAATATTTCAGTTTTATTAATGAAACATTCGAATAAAAGATACTTTTTGAAGTCGGCGGAGCCACCATCTCTACACACTAAGAATAAAGTTATGAAGGGAAACAAAATGAGAATAGATATTTTTTGGGTTCCGAATCTCAAAAGAAAAAAACGAAGCCGTTATAAGATCACTTTGTTGTCCGTCTGTCTGTCTTTCTGTCTGTCAAGACCCTTTTTCTCGAGAACGCGTCGAGGTATCGAGTTGAAATTTAAACCTTAAACCTACTTAGATATACGGGCCCTTAAAACTATGAAAATGTCAAACTTTTAAGTAAACGTGAAAAAAGATACGGCCGTTTCTGTTATGTACCTACAAATTTGTACGGAACCCTTGATGGACGAGCCCGACTCGCATTTACACGGTTTTTTTAAGTAAATGGGTTAATCCTATGCCTTTGATAATCATCAAAATCGTGGAAATCACTTGAAACAAGGTCAGGCCGTAGTTTGTGGATGTTAGATGAGGAATACAGCCGCAGCTGGTACCAAAGGCTTTAAGTGTGTTCAGGATCATGAAGTATTAAATATGTTTAATTTCTTAGCAAAGAAGATTGGTATAAAATCTTTTTTGTTCTCGAAAATAAAACTAGCTAATTTTAGAAATATTAACTTTTCCTTCATGTTTATAATAGTATAGCATAAATATATAACATAAATATATAACAATGTCAACCTATTTCATTTTATTAAATTAATTAATTTAATTAATCAACCTAATTAGAGTAATTACATATAATTTACAAGCGAATTTTTCAAATTAGGTGGGAAATTGGACAATCGTCAAAAGAAATTATTAATTTTAGACCAAACCTCATGTTAATTTCCTGTTTATTCTTATCTGGAATGATTTTTAATGTTGATTAGAACTTTTTTTATTTTACGATAAAACTTGAAATACCGTACAGTGTCACACCCGTTACAAAGACCTGTCGTACCCGATATATTTTTTTTATATAAAGTACATTATACATGTTTGCACATTTC